CCCCAAAACCCCAAAACCCCAAAACCCCAAAACCCCAAACTAACACAAATTATTCAATAATATTAAAAATAATGGAGCTTTTATATGTGACTGAAGGAAAGGACGGCAAAGTTGCCTTCCCAGGAAGTACTTATCATACTAAAGGTAACTACTCAAGAAATACTAGCGACACTCTTTGGCATCTCTAGTCGCTTGTAGTGCTGATAGCCAAGGGTTTTAGACAAATCAAGGAAGATTTTTCTAAAACCAACGCTATCTCTCTTGTTTACATTCTATTGACTTGGATAACACTATTTTCTTATGTACCTTCAAACTTACGAAATTTAAGTTGTTATATTCAAGAGAGAATCTCAAATCTTCTCTTAGGAAGCCTAGATTTCGCTAATTTCAAAGAATTCTCTAATTTGAATGACCCCAATTTTCCTATAGAATTGACGGAAGAGCTAGATTTTCAGAAGCGTATTTAGTGAGGCCAATCCTGATGACCTTTGAAAGCTCCATTATGAACAGGGAAAGATGCTCCAAAAAGTGAGAATTTTCGACAAAGCAGTTGAATGATTTAATTATGTCATCACAGAATCCTTGAAAGATATCAGAGCAGTAGGCGTCGATGTCTATGCATACAAATGCTACCAAGCAAAAGCAGTGATTCACTTTGACATCTTGTGCTTTAAGACTGCATTTGAGTGCCTTGGCAAGGCAGAGGGCATCATCCAAGAACTCTATGAAAGAAAGTAAGCCCCATAATTACCCATAGAACCGGGAACCCCTCCAGACAGATGCTTGAGCACAGGAAGATCGTGTCTAGGTATTACAGGAAGTTCCAAAAATTTGATAAAGCTCTTGAAATTTTAATGGATGTTTATAAAACCGAAAGAAAGATCTACACAAATGTCACCAACGAAGAAGACCAGGTCGAAGATGAACACAAGGAAGAGGAAAAGCAAGATGCTGAAGAAGCAGGTGAAGATGACCAAAAAGTTGAAATTTTGGAAGAAGGTATTTCAATGGTTGGAAATAATCTTATATAGTCAAAATTGAGGAAGAAGTAGTCGAGAAACCAATTGAAGATTCTGATGTTGATGGTGATGACTTGGATAAAGATATTAATTTGAGACTCGGTCAGACTATGATCCAGATCATGGAGATTCATGCACTCAAAAATGATATCAAGAAAGGACTTACCTTCAGAAATGCGGCTGAAAAATATATCTTAGCAGCAACTAAAGGAGATAAGAAGAACAAGCATTACATTAAATTCTTGCAAGCCTCAGGTCACATGTTTTTCAAATCACAGGACTCTAAGGATATCTCAAAGGCTTATGACTTCTATGATGAGGCTAACAAGTTACTTGAAGAGGTCGTTGGTAACAAGAGCATCGATTACTTGCTATCCTTCGTAGATATCGGAGAGGTCTATCTCTATCAGAGAGATTACGAGAAAGCTGACGCTTTCTTGACATTCTGCAGAGATGAGACTATTAAATACTATGGTGAGAGAAGTATCTACCTCAACAGAGTTAACTCAGCCCTGATTGAGGTTCATGCTGAAACTAAGGAAAGCAGAGGGGATATAACATTTAAATACTCCATGGACAATTTGGACATTGCTATTGAGCTTTATGGCGAAATGTCTATTTTCACTCTAGGATTCTACATGAGCGGAGTTTCTGCCAACTCTACCAGAGGAAATTATAATGTAGTCAATAATATCCTCAACAAGATGGGTCAGATCTTGGAGATGTCTGGGGAAGGATACAATGGAAACCAGTATTTCTTCCTATCTAGTATTATCGCTGGAATGATCGCCTCACAAAGCAAGGACTTTGAGAAAGCAGTCATGCTTTTCAGCTCTACTTTGAGAAGACAACTTGAGTATGTTGGACTTGAGAAGGACCATCCCTTTTTAGAACAGACTTACTACCATCTTGCTATGTTATACAACAGAGCTGGCAATTTGAACCGGAGTCTTGTCATGTGGAACAGCGCTCTGGAAGTTGGCAAGAGGAAATACGGAGAGAACAGCTATCTGCTTGCTACTAATTATAAAAATATTGGTGTATGTGAGATTGGCCTGGGCTTAATTAATGAAGCTATTAAGAATCTTGACAAAGCCAAGAATCTCTGTAAGAGCAAGCTAGATACCACAGATAATAAAATAGAAATCAAAGCTGAGCAAAGAGAACTAGGAGAGATTTATTACAACCTCTATCTTGCCTATGTTTCTAAGAGCGATTGGGATGGTGCAATCAGTGCTAACGAACAGTCATGTCAGTATAATTTATTAGCACTTGGAGAAGACGACTACAATGTATCCAACAGCCATTACCTAGGAGCCCAGATTTATTTAAAGAAACTCCATTTAGATGAAGCTCTCCACTACGCCACTAAAGCCAATGAGATTATCGACAGAAAACCCGAAAGAGAGCCCTTGCTTTTCGTCAGATACAGATTCCTAAGAGCAAAACTGTATAAAAATCTTGAGAAAAATGAAGAATCGCTCAAAGATCTGGACGAAGCAATACAAGTGTCTGAAAGTTACAAAAGACTTTATGCCGAAGAAATCGATCTGAAGAAATTCAGAACTGATTTAATCTCCACGCTTAGTGAGGAAGAAAGAGCTTCCTTTGGAATAGACATGAAGAAAGAGCAAGAAAAAGAGAGAAGAGATAAAGAGAAAAGAGACTTCCTTGAATCTGAATACAAAAAAACTCTTAAAGCTCAGCAGCTAAAAGCTCAAGGAGGAGCCCCAGAAGAAGGAAACCCTGAAGAAGATGATGAGGATGAGGATGATAGCACTTTAATAACCGTTGCAGCCCTATTCGGAGTGGCAGCTATTGGAGCAGGCATTTTCTACCTCCTGGGCAAGAAATAATCTATAAAAATTAAATCTCTCTAATTAAAAGGGGTTTTGGGGTTTTGGGGTTTTGGGGTTTTGGGG